AGCTTTCACAATAACAATGATTTATATAGCACCAACATATTCCACAGTGTTGTACAACACGTACCACAACAATGCATTTTTGATGGCTGGCAGGGATTCAGTTTGCAGGAGGGTAAATTTTTTAAAAATTTCACAGAACAAATATTGATCTTTACGTTTCCCCAGAGAGGCAATTTTTACACCGCAGAGACTATCCATCTTAGTGTCCCTCCATATTCTACATGTATAGCAGCGTAAAACTGATCATTTCACACGCACCATATTCATCAACTCAAATTATTGCATTACTGATCTTACTGCCAATATAAGGAGAAAACAAATAATATTCTTGTCACATGGGATGGGTGGCAGAGAACTAGGAAGGGTATTGATGGCCTGCGGTGCAATGTGATTGGCTGATATGGGGATATTTATGAGCTAGGACAGCATAATGTGATTTTATATCAGTAATGTTTAATAAATCATCAATACCTGTTGTGTCAGCATAGCTTCTGCCATTTCCCTCTGAAAAGGAAAACAAACATTTGAAATAAGAGGAAGACAGTAGCGCTGCTGTGGCATTAACCTGTCCGGCTGCAGCCGTGGCCTTAAACTGACCTGCTGCCGGTACTGTTGGAGCACACACTCCAGGCGCTCCTTGCCCCGGCGCAGACGATGTTGTTTCTGGAGGAGTTCGGGGAGCAATTCCTTAATGTCCTTTACTTTCTCATGGTACTCTGCCTTCAGCAACTTCCAACTCTGTTTTACTTCTTTCACCTCACGGTCTGTGGGAAGCAGACACTCACAATCAGTACCTCGAGGCTGGTGTGGGCACTGTGGCAAACAGTTTGGGCGCTCACTCAGTACCTGGGGGCTGGTTTGGCCGCACACTCAGTACCTGGGGGCTGGTTTGGCCGCTCACTCAGTACCTGGGGGCTGGTTTGGCCGCTCACTCAGTACCTGGGGGCTGGTTTGGCCGCTCACTCAGTACCTGGGGGCTGGTTTGGCCGCTCACTCAGTACCTGGGGGCTGGTTTGGCCGCTCACTCAGTACCTGGGGGCTGGTTTGGCCGCTCACTCAGTACCTGGGGGCTGGTTTGGCCGCTCACTCAGTACCTGGGGGCTGGTTTGGCCGCTCACTCAGTACCTGGGGGCTGGTTTGGCCGCTCACTCAGTACCTGGGGGCTGGTTTGGCCGCTCACTCAGTACCTGGGGGCTGGTTTGGCCGCTCACTCAGTACCTGGGGGCTGGTTTGGCCGCTCACTCAGTACCTGGGGGCTGGTTTGGCCGCTCACTCAGTACCTGGGGGCTGGTTTGGCCGCTCACTCAGTACCTGGGGGCTGGTTTGGCCGCTCACTCAGTACCTGGGGGCTGGTTTGGCCGCTCACTCAGAATCTCGGGGCTGGTTTGGCCACTCACTCAGAATCTCGGGGCTGGTTTCCTCCCAGCTCGCAGTATCCGCTTTCTCCAAAAACTCCAGCAGGAAACGCAGAACTTGGAGCTGGCTGCACAGCATTTTCTGCTTGCGTCGCCGTTCCTGGGAATGTGGAGAACAGTTAGAGGAAAACACAGATATCACTGTCTGACACCAGGACCTGGCCGCTACTTTAACAATTATGTATCAGTGTACAGGGATCACACAGTGTGTAATACACAGTCCTTCGCAGCGAATGATCTCTATATAAAACATTACACAGCATGCACTGTATGGTGGCCTCAATATAGTTGAAACGGCAGGGCCACAATTTTCCTTATGCCCTATATATTTTAAAGGATTACTCTAACCCTTTCCTATGGGCACTAAGCTCTCCTGCCCTCAATTTGCAGTACATCCTGAAAAACAAACTTTTTCTCCTTGCGCTGACTTCCATGCCCCTCTGACATCACAAAGGGAAGTCTGTGATTGCACAGTGTAGCAGAACCCCTTTGGCTGTCCAATCCATTTCCTTCATAATGTTACTGTTGAAATCTTCAGGGCACTCAGTTCACTGTGGAAGTCACCCAGCAGCTCTGGAAGTTCTGTGACATTAGACCAATCATCAGTGCCCCGTATCACCCCCAGACCAATGGGCCCTGCAAACGGTTTAATGGGACATTAAAACAGAAGCTCCGAACTTTCACTGAGACCCATCGGGACTGGGAAAAATTCTTACCCCACCTTCTCTTTGCATATCGGGAGGTGCTGCAGGAATCCACTGGGTTCTCCCCGTTTGAATGGTTATATGGGAGGTGGGTCCGAGGCTCCCTAGATCTCGTTAAGGAGCACTGGGAGGGAGACCACAGCCCCGCCGGTACTCCCATCATACCCTATGTACTGGAGTTCCGGAATTGACTGGAGGAACTAACCCGAGCAGTACGGGAGAACCTCCAAGCGGCCCAGACACGCCAACGCACCTGGTATGATCTGAGCGCCAGGGATCGTAGCTTTCAGGTGGGACAGGTTTTAATTTTAAAGCCCGTCCAGCATGACAACCTACAGGCCGCCTGACAGGGCCCTTATAAGGTGCTGGAGCAGTGCTGCGACACCACCTACATAATTGGCCCATGTGCTGGCTCCATGTGAACATGCTGAAGCCCTACCGGGAGCGCTCAGACGAGGTGACAGCCATTTGGGCACCTCCCTCTGAAGAGTTTGACAACCTTCCCCTTCCAGACCTGCTGGAGGACGGAAAGTTGTGTAGTGACATAGCCGAGGTTAAGCTGGGGAAGCGTAGGGAGATACAACAGTTGTTAAGGATAAAACAGGACACCTTCTCTAATGTGCCAGGCTACACCCCCCTGGTGACTCACCGCGTAGAGACCCCAGGCCAGTTACCTATGCGCCAAACCCCGTACCGCATCCCAGAGGCAGTGCGGGAGCATATGCGCCAGGAGATCAATGAGATGCTCCAACTGGGGGTCATTGAGCCTTCAGACAGCCCCTGGGCTTCTCCAGTAGTCCTCGTACATAAACGGGATGGTACAACCTGTTTCTGCATGGACTACCGGAGATTGAATGATAAAACCGTGTCTGACGCCTATCCCATGCCCCGGATAGACGAATTGCTGGACCGGATGGCTAGGGGCCAATACCTCACTACAATGGACCTTTGTAAGGAGTATTGGCAGATTCCCTTAGCCCTGGACGCTATTCCTAAGTCGGCGTCCGTCACCCCATTCGGCTTGTACCAATTTAAGGTGATGCCGTTTGGGATGAAGAACACCCCGGCCACATTCCAGAGGATGGTGGACCGACTCTTAGATGGGTTCTAGGACCATACCTGCGCATATCTCGATGATTATTTATATTCCGAAGCAATACACAGCGAGGAACACCCACCTATACATATAGGGAACTTGATTAGAGATAGAGTTCCGAGGGAGGCAGGGTTAACCTTAAAACCGGCCAAGTGCAGTATTGGGATGGCTGAGGTTCAGTACCTCTGCCACTGGGTAGGTTGTGGAATACAGAAGCCAGAACCCGCAAAGGTAGAGGCCGTAGCTCAGTGGCCAACCCCTAGAACCAAGACTCAGGTGTTAGCCTTTTTAGGGACGGCAGGGTATTACCAGAAGTTTGTGCCCAATTATAGTGCCCTGGCCAAACCCCTTACCGACCTTACCCGTAAAAACCTTCCTCGTCAGGTCACCTGGACCCCGGAGTGTGAGCAGGCCTTCCAACAGTTGAAAAACGCACTTGTAAATGCTCATGTCTTGGCAGCCCCTGATCCAACTAAACGTTTTCTTGTTCATACAGACGCTTCTGTTTGGATTGGGGGCAGTACTGAGCCAAGTCGGGGCCGATGGCGGAAAACATCCAGTGGCTTACATCAGTAGAAAATTGTTACTGAGAGAAGTAAGCTACGCAGCCATCGAGAAAGAATGCCTGGCTGTGGTGTGGGCCCTAAAGAAATTATAACCCTATTTGTATGGACAGCCATTTTCGTTACTCACGAATCACAACCCGTTGGTATGGTTGAACCGGGTGGCAGGTGACAATGCCCGACTGCTGCCCTCGGGATTGGCGCTGCAGCCCTTTGACTTTAATATCCAGTGCCGCCCGGGAAAACAGAATGGGAACGCTTACGGGTTGTCTAGACAAACTGACTTGGAAAAATGATCCGTGAGCATCCCCGGACATCCCCAAGCCGATCCGTGCTGGATCAGACTGTGTATGCCGGCTTGTGGGCGAGGGGGAGCAATGTAGCAGAACCCATTTGGCTGTCCAATACATTCCCTTCATAATGTTACTGTTGAAACCTAAAAGTTTTCCTGTGAACGTATTATAAAGATTTTCCTGTAACTATATGTGGCCATACCAAGATTCATCAAGTTGTTCGGTAAAAAGCTGTACAAATCTGCATGTGAACTGCGGTATTCACCATCCGAACTAAAGTACCAAACAACCGGACCACCCTGATGTGAAGGGTGGCTCTAATTTACCTCCCTGTATGCTCGTTACATTCCCCTTGTTAAAACACATGAACGCTCTGCTGTATTCCCTGGGTGGCCGCCTTTTCGGCAGCCGAACACGTGGCGGTGGCCATCTTAAACCCGCGAACAGCGGTGCTTGGTCGTCGAGTGTCTGGAACTCAAATCGGACACTCGACTAACCGAACACAGCTAAGACCTCCAGGGCATCAGAAAGTGCCGACTGGAACTCACGAACGGCCCAGCGTTCGGTAGGATGAATCCCACGAACCAGGGGATTCATCCGAATGCTGACTCAACCCTGGATGGCAGATACTTTCAGGACTTTTCAGGCATGAACAGAGACCGACCGCAGGGCCAAAACTTATGGAACTATTTTTGGCTATTTTGCCCGTGCGGTCGGTCAAATCTTTGCTTCCCCATAACTCCTGAACCCCTGGTCTGATCTGGGTGATTTTTGAATATGTTTCTCACCCAGATCAGGGCTACCAGGGGGTACCACATTTAAAGGTATGCATCTTATAATTATGTTAACTGTTAAGCTAAGGGGAGGAGATATGTAGGAGGTAACGTCTATGTGATTGGTTACTATAATAATTATGGTGGGTGCCTCCCTTGCATGGGAGAATCACATAAAAGCAGGGATTGTGTCATTAAACCTCAGTTCTACTCCTGATACTGTGTGTCGTCCAGTTGGGAAAGGTGATGGGATATTATTGTATTGCCTTGCTGATTGTGTTTATTACCCTATTGGATTTACTACTTGTTCCTGAATTATTCTAATGCACCAGTGGAGTTAAGCTGTGGGTGTCACGTTCTGTTCCTCGCTGCGGATCTTTCCTGCATTGGCTTCTGGTATCCAGTACTCTTTTTGCTGTCCTTGCTTGGTTTTTCTGGTTTTCTGGTCTATGTCTGGTTTTCTTTGTTGCTGGGTTTCTGGGTTCATTCTTATATTGCATCCCTGGAATTCCCAGTCTCCAGGTTTCCTTTAAATGTTTGTTTTATGTTGCCACACCCGCTTGTTTTCCTCTTTCATTTTGTTTCAGCTTGGACCTGCAGCAGTGTTTCAAGTCTCTGCCCTTTCTTGCAGGTAAGTGCTATTGTGGTTTAGTGTGGCTGTTTTAGCATACATTAGCCAGTGTAGGACCTGCCAGATATGGGGTAAATTGGCATTGTTGGCAGGCTTGTGCAATGTATGATCATATAATGTGACTAAATCCCCATATTTTTCATAATTAGTGCTTAGCTATGTTTCCTCTTGTTTTACCTTGTATCTCTTGTCTTGTAATCCCAGTCCATGTACAGTCCTGTCCAAGTCATGCCCATGTTATGTTCTTGTTTTCCTCATGTCTTGTGTACATGTTCTAGGTTATGCTTTCTGTCCTGCTCTGGTTCTGGGTTTTCCTAGTTTTGTCTTGTTTTCATGTATGGTGCCTATTTCTAGTCTTGCCCTGTTTTCCTAGTTTTGTCTTGTTTTCGTGCATGGTGACTATCTCTAGTCTTGCCTTGTTTCTGTACTGGATACATCCCTGCTGCAGAGCCTATTCAGCTCCTGGGAGGTCTGCTTAATTACCTGCTTCTAGTTCCTGGGATCCGCATAAGCTGAATCAGGGTTCTGGTATGTGGCTGCACAAACGCTGGTGCTCAACACCAGGGGGCGTGCGGTTACCCTGCACCAGACCCTGCTAATCCACCTCCACACTGTGACTCCTACTTTGAACATCAGGCATATATGGGTCCCGGTCCACGCACCGCCACCCGTGACAGTATCTGGGTCCCGGGCACCGGACCGCCACCTCTGACAGTGGGAAATCAGCTCTCCGCTACAACGTGCCTTCATTTTGACTTCTTGTGTGTTAGGCCAGACCCATTCCACAGTGTCACACTAGCTCATCGGGAGACTCAATATGTTTATAACTTGCTAGAGTTGGAATATTCACACTTTAACATTTAAAGGCTCAAAAACAGACAAATGTTTAAATATAATTTATTGAAAGCAAAAAATTATAAAACAGGCACATTTAATATAATATTCTTAATAAAATACATAAAGTTAGTATGTTTCACTGTGTGACGTTGTATCTTCCAGCCAGTAGTTGAATCAGTAATGGATTAAAGAAGCGGCCCCTCTTTGGGCATGATTCGGGGCGGATGCACTCATTATTGTATTTGACGTACCCCTGTTCACACACACAGCCCGGGACACACATCATGGGACAGGCCCGGTTTGCTTGCAAGTAATTTTCACAGGTGGCTTGGCAGTGGGCATTGCAATCATCGAACTTCCCGTTAAGGCCGCAGGAGGTGCACTGCGTCTCAGGGACACACGTGTTGGAAGTTGATGATGTCAGGACGTAGCCAGGTTTGCAATAACATTCAGGCTGGCATAGCTTCAAGCAGGGGATTTCCACTTTATCACAGCTCTTGGGGCACGGCTTGCATGGGTAAAACATCTTATTGGGCTCACAAAAGGCATCTGCATTGGAATAAAATAATAAAGAAAATAGAATTATTGCCAAATAATATATTTTATTGTATTTGTTATAATGTGGTTGGAAATAATTGCAAAGTTGAGGGTAAAATAAATCGATTGAAGATTTTATCTTAAAAAGAGCTTAACGGTCAACTGTCCGCTATTTGCTGGCAGTGTCTCACACCAAAACCACCATACTGGAATAACTCCCAAGTCAGCTATTTAAGTGGTCACGTGCCACCAGTTTATAGTTTAGTGGATACCTTGTTACAAAATCTCAGAAATGGCCACAAGCTAAGGTAAGTAACTGTGTGATACATTTATTTATTGCATTTCTGTTATTTGTTGTGAAAACAAACAATACAATTAAATATAGAGGACGCTCCACAGACGTCCCGGGATGGCTTTATTACCTGGCTGTGCTCTTGCAGTTTCTTGGCCAGATACTGTTATCAGACAGAAACCTGGAACAAAAAGATTAAAATAATCTGTTAGATACGTATCTTATTGGATTTAATCACATGTGTGTTCAGATTTGTATATTAATACTTGTATAGATCAGCTTTAACGGTATATTATATTTGTAATGTCCTTCTTAATTTGTCCTGAGGTCCAGCTTAATGGCAGCCGATGGGTTGACCTTGTAAGGATGAAGGCTGAGATGACTTTGCCAGGACATTGAGATCAGTCCAGACTTAGAACCTGATGGACCAGTGATGGTCTAAGCTGTCTCAAGAATTTAGTCTTTATTGTATCCTACAGCAAACTTGAATGCCATGCTTATTTAATGAGCTTTTACAGATCCTGAATAAGAGGAATGTCATCCCACAGAGTCATAAGGGCTACAGGGACAAGAATGTCATTGATTTCTTAAGAGTCAAATGTAACTCACATTGTTTTCAGTATTTTTATTTTTGTTTGTTTGTTTTTTCCAAATTTCTCCTCAAGCAATCTCCATTTTATTTGATCAATGTTCAGCGTGCCAGATATCACTTTCCTTTGCTTTCAGTGAGCCTCCCTGTCCAATAATTTATCCATTTTCTCAATTACCTTCACAGAGCGTGATCTGTCCTTTGAGAAAGCTGCTTCATCTCTCTGATACCACAACTGCTCAGAAGGTTTTCCAGAGCCAAATACTTCTCCAACGACTGACATCAAATTCTCACCTGTTATCATTTTCGGGACCTTTATTATCTCCTTTTATCATTCTCACCTGTTATCATTTTCGGGACCTTTATTATCTCCTTTTATCATTCTCACCTGTTATCATTTTCTGGATTTTGGTTATCTCCTTCTCTTTTAAGGATCAGATAACTAGTTGCTATGGCTCAATATGTGAATATTCTAAAACCAGCAAGCTATAAACATATTGAGTTTATTGCTGCAAACACTAGACTTTAAGATTCCTGATCCCTTTTGTATAGTGCCTCATATGTCAAATTTAAGGCCATATTATCTGTCACTCCTTACATATTGTGCTCTGGGCTCTGGAATACAATTGAGTTGAACAAATAAATATATATATGACATTAAAGTGCAATGCAGAATAACACATATTACACAAGTCTCAGAATTGCATTTCTGGATAGTCAATGACTGTTTCAATTAATCTTCTGTTTATCATCCTGATTTTCAATAGAAATTCATATATTTTTCAACCAAATCTGCTCAGATTCTTCTTTGTGATACACATTCCAGCTAAAGGAATTATTTAAACACTTTAACCATGCTGTAGTGGTTATTGTGCTTGGAGACAGTTCCTTTAATTACTGGCAGAAAAACTTATGTTTATCATGTCTGTGCTCCTGGTTTACCAACAAAATGCATGAATGAATAAATAATTCTATACATGTTTATCAACATATGATATTCAGAAATAAAGGTAAAACAAAATGTAATTCTGCTATGCACAAACTGAACAATGTCTGTGAGCCTCCTCTAATCTCCTACCAGCATTCAGCACTGAATCACTCGCACTCTCACTGTTACCGAGACATGGTATAATGAGAACAATGACTGGGACATAGCAATACCAGGGTACTCTTTAAATAGAAAAGACAGGGAATGTAAGAAAGGGGGAGGGGTGGCCCTGTATGTGAAGGATAGCATAAAATCTAGCCTAATAAAAGTTAGTGAGGCGAACATAGAGTCTGTTTGGGTTACGTTAGAATTTGGAAATCACACAGTAACTCGTGTAGGTGTGATTTATAGGCCCCCAGGACAAATAGAAGAGTTAGGTAATCTACTAGTTGAGGAAATAGCTAAAATGACAATGAAGGGGGACGTTATCATCATGGGTGACTTTAATCTTCCTGATGTGAATTGGAAAACAAAAATTGCTGCTTGTGCCAGGAGCACACATATTCTAAACTCCCTACTAGGATTGTCTCTAAAACAAGTCATTGAGGAGCCAACTCGTAAAGAGGCCATACTAGATTTAGTGTTAACAAATGGAGATTTGGTATCAGATGTTACTGTAGGTGAAAGTTTAGGATCCAGTGATCATCAGTCAGTGTGGTTTAATATAAGAACAGTGACTGAGTCACACCACACAAAAACAAAAGATTTAGACTTTAGAAAAACAGACTTTTCTAAAATTAGAATATGTGTAAAAGAGTCATTATCAGACTGGAGCAATTTAAATGGAGTTCAAGAGAAATGGGATTATTTAAAAGTTGCACTGCTGAAGGCAACAGAAAATTGCATTAGGCTTGTCAGTAAAAGCAAAAAATTCAAGAAACCATTGTGGTACGCCACAGATGTGGCCAAAATAGCAAAAAACTAAACGTTAGCATTTAGTAATTATTAAAAAAAACAGAGTGAGGAAGATTGGCAGAAAGAGGCTAAGCAAGTTATAACAGCTTCCAAATCACACACAGAAGAGAAAATAGCACAGTCAGTAAAAAAAAGGGGACAAAACATTTTTTAGATACATAAATGAGAAAAGAAAAGTAAAACAAGGATTAGTTAGATTAAAAACAAAAGAAGGAAGGTATGCAGAAGAGGATAAAGCTCTAGCTGACTGCCTCAATTAATATTTTTGTTCTGTATTTACAGATGAAAATGAAGGAAAGGGGCCCCAGTTTGGAAAAAGGACAAATGAGTCATTTGTTACATGTGAGTTTACAGAGGAAGAGGTTCTATTTCAACTGTCAAAAGTAAAGACAAATAAGTCAATGGGACCTGATGGAATACACCCAAAGTTATTAAAAGAGCTTAGTGGTGTACTAGCAAAACCATTAAAAGATTTATTTAACCAATCATTATTAACAGGAGTAGTCCCAGAAGATTGGAAGTTAGCGAATGTTGTACCCATTCATAAGAAAGGTAATAGGGAGGAGTTGGGCAACTATAGGCCAGTAAGCCTTACTTCAGTAGTGGGGAAAGTGATGGAAACCATGTTAAAGGATAGGATTGTTGAACATCTAAAAACACATGCATTTCAAGATCAGAGACAACATGGGTATACTTCAGGGAGATCATGCCAAACTAATCTTATCTAAAATTATAGATCAGCGTGGTGCAGTAGACATTGCTTACCTAGATTTCAGTAAGGCTTTTGACACTGTTGCACATAGAAGGCTTATCAATAAACTGCAATCTTTAAGTTTGGATTCCAATATTGTTGAATGGGTAAGGCAGTGGCTGAGTGACAGGCAACAGAAGGTTGAAGTCAATGGAATATATTCGAAGCTTGGACTTGTCACCAGTGGGGTACCTCAGGGATCTGTACTTGGACCCATTCTCTTTAATATTTTTATTAGTGATATTGCAGAAGGTCTTGATGGTAAGGTATGTCTTTTTGCTGATGATACTAAGATATGTAACAGGGTTGATGTTCCAGGAGGGATAAGCCAAATGACAAATGATTTAGGTAAACTAGAAAAATGGTCAGAATTGTGGCAACTGACATTCAATGTGGATAAGTGCAAGATAATGCATCTTGGACGTAAAAACCCAAGGGCAGAGTACAAAATATTTGATAGAGTCCTAACCTCAACATCTGAGGAAAGGGATTTAGGGGTGATTATTTCTGATGACTTAAAGGTAGGCAGACAATGTAATAGAGCAGCAGGAAATGCTAGCAGAATGCTTGGTTGTATAGGGAGAGGTATCAGCAGTAGAAAGAGGGAAGTGCTCATGCCATTGTACAGAACACTGGTGAGACCTCACTTGGAGTATTGTACACAGTACTGGAGACCGTATCTTCAGAAGGATATTGATACCTTAGAGAGGGTTCAGAGAAGGGCTACTAAACTGGTTCATGGATTGCGGGATAAAACTTACCAGGAAAGGTTAAAGGATCTTAACATGTATAGCTTGGAGGAAAGACGAGACAGGGGGGATATGATAGAAACATTTAAATATATAAAGGGAATCAACACAGTAAAGGAGGAGACTATATTTAAAAGAAGAAAAACTACCACAACAAGAGGACATAGTCTTAAATTAGAGGGACAAAGGTTTAAAAATAATATCAGGAAGTATTACTTTACTGAGAGGTAGTGGATGCATGGAATAGCCTTCCAGCTGAAGTGGTAGAGGTTAACACAGTAAAGGAGTTTAAGCATGCGTGGGATAGGCATAAGGCTATCCTAACTACAAGATAAGGTCAGGGACTAATGAAAGTATTTAGAAAATTGGGCAGACCAGATGGGCCGAATGGTTCTTATCTGCCATCACATTCTATGTTTCTATGTAATTCTGCTATGCACTAACAGTACAATGTCTGTCAGCCTCCTTCAACCTCCTACCCAGCATTCAGCACTGAATGACTCGCACTCCATGTAATTAGAGGTTTTACCAAGGGAAACATAGGTACAGTTGGGACCCACAGAACAGATAGAAATACAAATACATCTGTCATAACAAATTCATAAAAACTATGTAAAGTTCATAATCTTTGGTTAACAATGAGGTAACATTTACATTTTCATGACAACAAAACCCATTCTTCAGTTATAATAATAGAAGTTATATGAGATAATAAAAGGTACAAACTTCTACTGAGCAGCTATACCAGCAATCAAAAAAGAATTTTACCAAGTCATAAACTTTGTTTTCTTAAAAAATTAAAAACAACACAACAAAAAATATCAGCGTTTATCAAAAAGAGGTCTAAATCCCCACACAAACACACCCTTTTCATAGGACATGACTAGCCGACAAACCAGTTACAGAGATTAAAACATGTACAAACCATCTGTATAGGATTTGGGTCAATCGCATCATACAACGAACAAAACGCAATAAAAAAAACAACTGGTTTCTACCTGAACTTTGTCATAATAACTTGGGATCTACTCTTAGAAAAGCTGATCAGTGTCAGAAAGTGACATCGCTTAACACTCTGTAACATGTGTTAAGGTAAGTACAAGGTGCATTAGTACTAACCTCACCTGACACAAATTGGAACATTTCTTAATGTCAACAAACTGCTGCTATGCTGCTCTTTCTTGTTTGAGAAGCATCAGCCAGAGGGCTACCTGTTGGCCATGATTATGAGTGAGACTCCATCTATATTCCAGAATTGTACTCACCAAATGTCAGAAAAAGCTTCATGGATATTCTGTTGACCATATTGATCTGCAGAGTGTCTTGGTTAGTTTGTATTAGTTACGGTAATTCTTTCTCCCAAACTAGAACTTGTCACTATCTGTAAGGTTTGTTCTCTCAGTAGTTCTGTCTCAGTTATGGTTAGACACAAGCAGAGGGATGAAGATACTTATAGGAGAGAGGTGAATGGGTGTAAAGCTCATTAAGAGATTTGGTTTGTGTACAGCGACAGACACGTACTGTATGACATCATTAGGAATTCTACCCATTATTCAGGTTATAAATGACACACAAAGAATCAACTTAATAGACATCTGCAAAAATATTGCCCCCAAGAGATTGGTGTTAACCACACCTAGTGCAACATCCAGACACGAGAGGATCTGATCAGAAACCTGGAGGTGTTATCAGTTATATACAGAATGATAAGGGCTCTTACCATCTCCATAGGATTCCTTAAACCCCACAATCACTATAGCTTTAGCACTGACTGTAGGTGCCATCCCAAACACACACAGACATCACACACACACACACACACACAATTTTTAAAAATTTTGTTTGAAATATTTATTTTTAAGCGTTGTATGCATTTTTGCACTATTTCTGTCCATTATTTTTTTTATGTAAATCATGTATGTGCTATTTAAGCAGAGTAAAAATCTCTATCATTCAACCCCTTGTATATGCACTTTCTAAGTTTTTATCTATTAGTACAAGTCTGACAACGGTAACGTAGATGTTATCTCTTCATGCTAATGTGAACTGTTCTAATGCTCTTGTTGTATCCAGAATAAGTCCAGAGGAACAGCTCAGACATAGGGCTGATTACTTGTCACTGGAAAAATACTGCACAATGAAAATGGCTTGTGCCCAGAAGTCAGAAATCCAGTGGTAATCTATCATGAGGCAAACAACGCAATTGCCTTGGGCATCACTTTCAAGGAGGACGGCAAAAAAGTAATCCTTCCCCCCAACTTTAACAATTGCCTTGTTAGCCTTGTGTCATGTGGACCGAAGTGCTGGCTGGGTGGCCACCGTAGGGTCCTTGAGGCAGCTGGTGAGGGAGCTATAATCTTCCTTATCTTCTTGCTCTGCTTCCTTTTGCAGTCTGCTTTGGTGCCGGGACCTGGAATATGACTTCACTATGGCCCCAGCATCACTAAACAGCATGCGATAGAGCAGAGTATGAAGATGACAGTCACAGGAGTCACACTGGACCTCGAGGAAAGGATCTACTTCAGTTCTCCCAAAGGTAGGGAGGTTAGGTGAATTTAAATCAAAATAAAAATTAATAATTTCTGAGTATATGAGAAAATGTGTGTGTGTGTGTGTGTGTGACAAACTCCCCTTTTCAAGTGAGTTTGCCACAAGTTTTTGGAGGGGCCTGTTTTCAAGCCTCCTACCGTGTGACTATGGCCCCTGCAATATACCTGGCTAAAATACTTTGAACAGCCTCTGTTTTTGCAGTTGGGACTATATGGTTCATTTACCGAACAGCTGCATGAACCGTAGACCACCCTGGAGCTTGTTAAGCTTAATTGATACATTGTTGCAATTTCCACCGCAGTGGTCTAAGTGTTCGACCACGAGGTGGTGGCCATCTTGTTTGCATGGACCAAAACCGCGAATAGTCTTCAGGGCAACTTAGTCGCGAATGCTCTTAAACTATTTTCGGCATGAAAACTTTGTGGTTTCCAGTTTGTCCTCCAGCAGCTCTTAGCCGCGATTCTATGGAACTATATTCGGCTATGGGACCATACCTGCGGTTGGTCAAATAAATGACTTCAAGGAACTCCTGAACTGATCTGGGTGATTTTTGGATATATTCGTCACCCAGATCAGGGCTATCAGATGATATCAAGTATTTTCAGGTACTTTTGGGATTTTATATAAAAGTATGTTTTTCCTGTGCTTGGAGATAATTGGATTAGAATTAGTACAGTTACTGATCCAATTATACCCCAAGCAGAGGGGAGGGATTGTGTGCTGTGTGTGGGAGTGTCTTGCCTTGTAACCTTTTTGTTATTGGTCTGTGATGTTGTAAATCAGTCCGCCATCAGGTCCATGTGTGCGTACCCCTTGCATGGGGATTGTCATATAAGGCCAAGGATGGCACCATTAAAATCTATTCCAGCTTAAACTCCAAAACTGTGTGTCGTCCTGTTATTGGAGGGAAAGAAGATTTACTCCTGTGTCTGCTGTTCCAGCTTGCAGGGGATTCAACAGGGAAAGTCCTTGTAAGGACTAGAGCTCCCAGGACTGAGTGTCGTCCAGTGCCTGGGAGTATCTAGAGCAAATTCCCCATTCGGCTCCAGGAAGGAGTGGTAACAGGGCCCCAGTCAAGCTACTGAGACTGTGGGCAGAAGTGCTGCTGGTTGTCCACTGTTCCAGTTAGAAAGCGGTCCTTGGTGGAGGTACCCAGCCAGGGGTACAGGGAGCTCTGTCACAGTGTGTCAGCATCAGTGTGTGACTCTCAGTGAATTTATGTGTGTGACTGTCAGTGAATGCGTGTGTCAGTGTATGTATGTGTCTGTGAGTGAGTGTGTGTCAATGTATGTGTGTGCCTGTGAGTGAATGTGTGTCCATAAGTGAGTGTGTGTCAGTGAATGTGTGTGTGTCTGTGAGTGTGTGTTTGTGTGTATTTGTGCGTCTGTTTGTGAGATTGTGCATATGGTAGTGAGTGTGTCAAATCAGTGATGGGTTGTTCATCTGTGAGTGTGCCAACGTGTGTCTAAACAGTGTGAATGTGTGTTTGTCAGTGAGGATGTGTGATTGTCAGTAAATGTGTGTGTTTGTCAGTGTGTCAAATCATTGAGTGGGTGTTTGTCAGTGTGGTCCTGTTAGGGAGTGTATGTATGTCTGAGGGTGTGTGTCTGTCACTGAGTGGGTATGTCAGTGTGGGCGTGTGTGTCGGTCAAAGTGTGTGTTGGCTAAACAGTGTGTGCCAATGACTGTGTGTCTGTCAGTGAGAATATATCAGTGTATGTGTATCAGTCTGCCACTTCAAATGTGTTTGGTCTTAAACAGGAAGAGGTGTGGCCTTGACAGTAAGCGGAGGGGAAATTTAGAGGAGGTGCCAAGTTTAGTCATACCCAGGGCAGCACAAAACCAAAATACACCAACTTGACTTCCAAACATAACTCAACACTTTCTGCAGATGTGTCTCCCCAGTTTAATCGCAGAATTTAACCGTCTCCTGTTCGCTGCTCGCACCTCTAGTTAGGCTACTTTCCCACCTTCTTTGGTGGCTGTCACCCTTGATGCCCTGTTGTGTATTTGTACCCCACCTTATCTACACTGTAAGCTCGTTTGAGCGGGGTCCTCAGCTACCTATTGTTCCTGTGTCACTGTGTAATTGTCTGATGTATTGTAAATTTCCCCCCTTTTTATAATATTGTAAAGCGCTTCTGAATTCGTTGGCGCTATATAAATACCAATTATAATAATAATAATATGTAAACCATGCCTTCCCTCGGCAGGATAGGTGATGCACTGAAAAATCTATTGAGTAGGGTCCTTCAGGCCCCAATAGTAACCACTCACGGGCCCCATTTAGTATTCTTATTCTTTTTTTGTTTGTTTTTCCATTTTTGCTCGGAGGGTAACATGATTCATACGTTAACTGATCTCCCAATCATCTAGCCTAGTAGTTCATCCATTCTTTGTGATGTTAGTGTCTGTTCTGCTATTTCCATTCTTTCCCTCCTTCTTCTATAACTCGTCCACATTTCATGCCAGTAGTCTATTCTACTTTTACTTTTGTTACTGTTTTACTTATTTATGAGTTTTCTAGGCATTTTTGTTATCATTTTGTTTCTGTTGCACATTCGTTGTTTCCTTATTGCTTATCGGACTTAGTCCTTAACATATAGCAGTGGAAGCTCATCCTCCGCTCTATTTGTTTCCATGTTTTGCAGATCTTCTGGCTCGATATACAGATAATTCAATGATTTATATACAGTACTGCAGGGCTTGACAAATTTGTTTGGAATCTATGAGCCAGATTAAAAAAGTTAGGAGCCAGTTTTTTTTAAAACTAGCAAAGTTTAATTTACGAGAAATATACAATTATTAAAGGGACACTACAGTCACCAGAACCACTGTTCTGGTACCTATAGCCTGTCCCTGTAGCCTTTTCAACGTAAATACTACCTTTTTCAGAGAAAAAGTAGTGTTTTCATTGTTGCCTAGTCAAGGGTGTAACTAGAAACCTCAGGACCCCATAACCGTTATAGAGCAGAGGTGGTTAGTAGGATCCTCAGCTGCGGTGCAAATGCAATGAGTCTTTGCTGGCTGTGGATCTGCTATTTACTCATCCTTACAGATTCTATCTGTATCCTGTGTCTTTGAATGTAAGCGTGTTTTTGTATAGTGCCACCCTCCTTTGTCCTCATCACATGTTCGAATGCCGAATGGTGGCCACCTATAAACACTCAATTACTCTGCGGTTTTCGTGTGGTTACTTGGTGTTCTAAGTTCTGATTGCTACCCAGGGTGGTCTACGTTCAGTAGAACGAATAAATGTCCTGAACACAGAAAGAATACTTTAAAGACACTTAACTAGCAGGGAGAGGAAATAACCGAATGCATGGAGGGTGATTCTTCACACTCAACTCTCCAAATTTGGCAGAAACTCCACTGCCTTGATCTCCAGCATTTCTCCACCAAACTCCAAACTCTCCTTTTACCCACCTCAAATCTCACCTATCCTAACTCTGCAAACGCACTCTACAACTACACTCTCTCCTCTTAACTAGAGATCATGACATCTCCTACATTTAAATGCAGCAAGCCAATTACAACCCTGCCACACTATATCTCAAAAAATGTTCCAGAACTGCTGAACGCTGTTGGAGAAAGTCTCACTCTACACCTGACTTCCTTCACTAATAATTTATGCTGAGCTCCTTCATTCTGGCTCTTTCTTCTGCAAAAGTAAATTAATTCAACACCCTCATAAGTTTTAATGCTTTCCTTCGCCCCGTTGCTCACCCTCCTCATACCAACCTGTCCACCTCAAACTGTGCAACTCATTTCACTGAGAAGATTTCTACAATCAGGGAAGATATTTCTAACCTCTCTCCCTCCCCTTCCAATACATCTTCCAATACATCACCCAACCCCACTCACTCCACTGTTCTCTGCTCATTTGCACCTACTACAACGGAAGAGGTTTCTGCTCTGCTCCGGCCCTCCCGCCCCACCACCTGTTCCCTCAATCCT